ATCTTGAGTCTGGGTTTCACCAATCAAACATAATCACTATACCAATAACTAATTAATGTGCCTCACCCAAGCAAGGAAATTTCATTAGACCTCAACATTAGATATTCATGGAAGGAGATATCCTGGATTCCCCCTCTTGGGAATGTCAAACCTTAGGTGGCTTTTGCTGTTCAGATGTGTTTGACATTTGAGAACATTACAAAGCTCCTGTAGCTGAGTCAGACCAATGATCCTTCTAGTTCAAAATCGTCACCTCCCCAGTGTTTTTCAGTGTATAGGCTTGTGCAGAAGTTGTACACAAGATGCTTTAAAGGAATTTTGAAGAACTTAAAACTTGATAATGGAACAGTAGTAGTATTATGCTCTCTCAAAAAATCAGAGTATATTTCTTTCAGTAGTAATTGGTTTGAGCCATATTGTGAATGGCTGGTTAGAGTGATTTGTAGCCCTCTTGATTAGGGCCCGGGGGATAGAAGGTTTGAGCCTGCAATGATTTTCAGTGGCTCACCGAGAGAGACACCGATCCCAATCCTCTTTAGAGATATCAGGTAATTGAACACTGGACCTTCTGCTTGTTCCTTTGATCAGTATCCCATCCCTTTGTTAAGAATTTTCAACATGATAGATGTCAGACAAAGTCATATTATATTATGTTCACTTCAAAGAAACTGCTATGGAATTCTGCCAGCACTATGCATTTCTTGTGCCAAAGATTAATAAGCCTGGCAATTTAATTATAAGTGAAATGTTCCTTTCCCTTTCATTTTTCCATCATTGTCAGGTGTGTTGTGCTTCTGTTGCCCATATGCTATTTTAATTCTTTTAAACATTATTTTCTAGGGCTGGTTTCTTAGACCTGGTGCCTTTTAGGGATTCTGAAGTACAGCTCTTTTGATTTACATACAGCATAATTAGGAATGGGTTAAAGATCAGTGTATCTCTAGAGCACCAGTTTAGGAAAGTCTGCTCTGAGGGGGTAAAAGGATATAAAAATGATTCCAAACTCATCTCCTTGGCTTAATTTGCTAAAAAGTATTGGCTTTGGTCATCCATGTCTTCTTTTTATCTTCTTTCCCCCAAAGATATGGTGTGGGCAGTGCATTAAAGGGCAGACAATATAATCAGATCTACAATAGTTAGTTTGAAAACTGAGCCTCAATTTTGCATTTTCTTTGACTTGTGGGATCCTTCCTGATTTCCATTTCATTTCTACAAAATGAAATACTAAATGCAGTTCTAAAACGATGGTGCAGTTTGTGACAGGATTCTTTGTCTAGAGGAAAGGCAAGGTCTTTTTTAATGGCTGTTGAATCTGATAGTATTCAGGATATGAAAAAAAAAAGATTTAGTTTGTCTTTTTTCTCTTAAAGATAGGTTCGGCAAGAAGTATATGTGTATATTCTAAAGCACAATATAAAAAACTTCTAGCAGCCCATCCCCCAGTGTGTGATGGTGAAGTTTTCATAAAATGTTTCATAGGATATTGGTTTGAAGGGCAAAAGTCTACTTCTGGTATAGTCACCTTTATGCACTGAACTCATGGCTAGCTTCGAAGGAATATTTCTTCCTTATAAAGGTGTCCATATCATTCTTTAAAGTTTTCTGTGTGTACTTCTTTCTTCAGAAATCAGGTGGGTAGCAGAGAGAGAGGGAGAGACAGATTGAACTTTAGAAGACCTTCCCAGAAAGAATGGCTTCATATCAGTTCTTTTGTCTCTTTGGCAAGTTGTGAAGACGTTTTCATTTCTAGTTTTTGCTTTAATTTTGGAATGCGTACACCTTGCAAGATTTTGGAGTCTCACCAAAAGTTCCCACCAAATTATAACTGGAATATGACAGCAAGGAATAATTAAATATAGGAAGAAAATTCATAGTAAGCTTAATTAATTAAGCTATAATTATGTATACATTCAGACCCTCCCACCCATTTGTCCTCATCTATTCCTTTGAAATACAACCCATGGCACATCACTTCAAAATGTTATGCATCCCTTTTATAAATGGACTGCTATTTTTTATATTTGAGAATGGTTTGTTTGATTGCACTTACTTTAATTATGTTTCAGCTTTGTCAGCCATTCAGTAAGCAGCATTGCCAAAAAGCTGGGCTGATGCTATTCAGATAAACCAAGAAACACATATTGGAAAACCATCTATAAGATAGGAATGAGGGGAACTGAAGGATGGAGAAAAAAATAGAAAAGTAGTTTGCAACAGATTTAGATGTTCGGCTGGCCAGAGTTAATTTAGTTTGCCTGATGTGTGAGTAATCCTCATAATTAAGATAACATCTTGCAATTTGTTTGGTTTTAGAGTGTTGTATAAGCTCAGCAGTTATGATTTGTATGCCATTTCTTGTGCCTTAATGAATGTAAGTCATACCTAAACTATATATGACTTACATATGTGCATACATGTATGTAAAATATTCCACATAGCTTAATACACCATGCAAACCCAGGTGGTACATGATAGGAGACATATCAAGGGAGGACCTATTTTGTGTAATTTCCCTTTTGGGGGATTGTCAGGAGGATGTGGATTTCTGAGTATGGTAACACTTGTATCCTGTACTATTACTGTCCTCATCTGTTGATCTTTTGCTCTTCTGTTGGCTTCCTAATGTATTTATTGAACTTCTCAAGACTTACATTTACTGATAAGTTTGTTAGGCATACATATCTTAATTTTGTTCATAAACCGGCGCAATAAGCATGATAAAAAAACAGAAATATATGTACATGCATTGAATATCAATGCATATGGTCAGTCACTACAATGACTGGGCAAAGCAGGAGAACTCTCAATCCAGCATTTAAAGACTGAAGCCAGCTTGGGAATACTGGAACAGTTAAACAGTGCCACGTGCAGTGAAGAAATCCTGGCTTGCTATAAAACAAGAATGGGCAACTTGTGGCCCCCAACATCCTAACTTGTCGCCTCCTCAAACCACACTACTGAATCTCAGGGTACAGTTGATGAAAAGTGGCAGTGTGATTTTCAATCACTTTAAGGCAGGAAACACTTCATTTTTAATTTTTTAAATATCTTTATTTTATGGTCAAAGATGGGCAAAAGGCAGGAAGCATGTGAAAACTATAATGTAGGTCCTAAAATAGGCTCAGCAAATTTTAAAATACAAAGAATGTCTCTCTAACCTCCCCAGAAAGGTGGAAAAACACAGCCCTGCTATCATGCCCACCTTATTGTGTTATTACTGTGTGTTGTGTTCTGGCCTACCCAGATGTTAAGAACTGCTCCCCACCAGTAGAAGTTTCCTCTCTTGCAAAATAATACCATGCAAACAGATTTTGAGGATTTTAATGGGTAGCATTTAAAGTTAGAGCAGAGACCCTGTTCTGATACTTGATGCTTTTCTGTTTTGTAGCTCTCTTGGGCTTGCAGTGGCCCCTCGTGTACGATTTCTCCAGAAAGTGCAGAAGAAAATGCATACAGAGAAGCCTGAAAAAGAGGGGACTGAGCAGGCTGAAGACACACAGTTTTCTTTAAGTGATGAAGACTTAGAGAAATGCAGGAGAATTTTCAGTAGAACAGGCCTGTTGGGGCAACAGGAGACAGAAGGCCTCTCTGGGAAAAGCAGTCCTGAGGAGGACGCCTTACAGAGTCAATCTGAGTTAGAAGAGCCTACAACTGTCCACGAATCAAAACCTGAATGCCTAAACTTTTTCGAAGATGATGATGGGGATGATGACGATGATGATGCCTCTAAGGATGTGTTGATTGTAAAACGGAGAAATGTCTTTGGCTTAGAATCAGAAGAGAAAGCAGCATTGGTAAGGATTTTTTTTTCAGTGTTAAAAACCAGCCTCCTTCTTCTGGAAGGGAGTTATTATCATCATGTCTGGCTTCCTGAATATATGTGGTTGGCCATTGCGTGACACAAAATACCACACCACTGAGTCTGTGGCCTGATTTAGCAGGGCTGTTCTGTGGTTCGTATATGAATGTGAGATAGCTGGTTGGGTTAATCAATTTGTTGCTGTGAAGCTCTTACTGGTTTAGACCCCTGATTGAATAGATTCTGGGGGTTTTTTTTATTGGTTGATATATGAGTTGCACGGATTGAGTTATTTTGATTGTATGTATTAATACAACCTTCCCCAATTTACTACTCTCCAGATGTGTTAGACTACCATAATCACCATTGCCCACCCAATACATCTGGGAATTAAGTGACTTGTTGCCTAGTATAATTGGAGGCTATCAAATTGGGAAATGTATTGATATTGCCTCTTGTTGTTGACTAACAACTTGATGCTCTGATGTTGTCAGCTTCTCAAAAGTTCTTATGCACTAATGTGAGGGTTGCATCATAGATTTTTATTTTTATAAGACTTTCAGAAATGCTGCTAGTAATTTGAACATGTATAATTTGATAATTTGTATGTTAAACTCTTATTATTCCTTTGTAGTTCTAATTAACTTGGATTCTGGATTATTTAAAATAGCATAACTGATTTGGCCTTTATTGCCTTACATAGCAAAAGGTAATGTAGAATTGCTCCACTGCAGAATAAAATGACAAGGGCCTTGGAAGAAGCCCTGACATTTCTTGGAGAAATATTTTATTATATGTCAACACTAGCTCAATCAAAAATTTATAATTTTAGTCTTAATACACACATCGGCATACACACACTTTCATCAGCAAATACATTTTCTAATGTTGACAACTCATTTAATAAGTTGCCATGGTGGGAACAAGTTGCTTAATTAATTTTGCAGGTTTTAAAAGTGTAATATATTTTAAATAATCTTTGTGGATTGACCTTGAAATGAACATTATTCAAATGCTAGCTACTCATGACTTGCTGAAAAGAGTTTTCAGTTAATTTTTTATCTAGACTGTGAAGATAGTAACTCAGTTTGCTTTTAAACATGCAGATTACCTTCATGTGACTTTTATGTTTGTCAGCTAAACGACCTGTGCTGAGAATTGTACGAAAGTGTATGTAAGTGATCTGATTGTGACCAAGTGTGTCGCTGAGGAACTGGAGGATATTTTCTTGATTCGATTAACTATTTGAAATGAGAGTCTAGTCATAATTATATATCAAGTAACATATATTGAGTGACAAGATCCATCCACGTGTATGCTTTGTGATTTTCTCTTCATGATTAAACACACTTTCCTGAAGGAACAGGTTGCAAGTGTTCCTCGGGGGGCTTTGCACAGATTCATCTTGTGCATCAGTTGTACCCTTTCTGGACTGGGAGGCCATGCTCACTGTCACTCACACCTTAGTTGCATCTTGGTTGAATTATTGTAACTTGCTCTAAATGGGGCTGCACTTGGAGGCTACCTGGAAGTTACAACTGGTTCAGCATGCAGTGGTCCACTATGCAAACTGCAATGGGTTCAGTTGCTTTATGGGAGGGCTGTGAAGGCCTGGCTCTTCACCCAGGCATTGGGCTAGAATGGAAATGAGCCCAGCAAGTCTGAAAAGTCATCAGGTGAGTTTATCTTCAACTCTGAACAAAAGAAAAATTAATTA